GGGGGGGGGGGAAAGGGGGCCACCTGTTCGTAGGTCTCTTCTACCCCAGAGCCATGTTCTGCCCAGACGCTGCAGAACATAACCCACCCAAACGCCCCCCCCCCCCTTCCCATGCTCCCCAGAAGGACGGGATATCGTCCCCGGCCGACGGCGACCGTCAGCCCGCTCACACACGCGTGTTGACCTGATCCAAGGCCCTCTCGATGGGGGAGGGGGGGGGGGGGGGGAGGCTGTGGCGCCCACCTTGCGCAAGAGAGGCACATATCTGCGCAGTTTAGACACCACTGGGAATAATCCTTGCAGAGACAGGATTATTTATGGATTTATATTTTGCCGAGACCTTTGGGGAAGCTCGCTTCGGTGTCCGGCTCAACGGCCCTCGCCCCTCCCCGATGCTCTCAAGGCCTGGCCGGTTGCAGGGGATGACACGGCCGGGAGCGGCAAAAGATAAGGGCCCATTCTTCTCCAACAGAACCACCAGCACATGATTAAAAGGCACATGGCGCCTGACCTCGGGCCATCGTGGTTCACAGCCGGACGGGCCTTTGAAGATGCCCGACGATCTGGCCCACCGTGTATGTGTGTGTGTGTGTGTGAATGCTGGATGCCCGCTTCTCCGGTGAGGGCGTAGAGCGGCTCGGCTCTCCCGCCCAATACCTTCGGCCCCGACGGCATCGTGGGAGGCACCTGCTCACCAATGTGGAGGAGAGGGCGGAGGGGACAGGGGGGGGGGGAGTATCGCTCCATCCAAAGGTCGGTGAATTCGTGCCTCACCGCATGGCCACTGCCAATCTTCCCCCCGACTTCCTCTCGCCATCCCTCCTCCTGCGATTTGCCTTCTCGCCACTTCCCTTTCTCTCTCTCTCTCTCTCTCTCTCTCCCCGCGTTCCTCCCTCCTCCTCCCATTTCCCTCACCGTGCACCATGTCCACCCCTGCCAAGAAGCCCGTTGGCTCCAAGTGGGGCTCCGGACGCAGCCGGCCTGGTGACACGGTTGCCGCCAACAAAACCCGCTCCGAGCCCGATGCCGATGAGGCCACTCATGCGTCGGCCGCGACCTTCAAGTACCTGCAGCAGATCGCAACCACCCTGGATGACATGTCTGGCGACATGGATCTCGCTCGTGCGTATATTCGCCCTCCACCGGTCTCTCTCCCTCTCTCGCGCCCCCTCCCCCGCCCGGGGACTTTTCAGCTTGCAACCTACTCACCCGAGATTCCCCCCCTCGCTTCTCCCTGCCTGTGTGCGATGGGTTGTCCTCCCTCCAGAAACCAGCTCCCTTGTGGACAATGTCCTCGAGGAGGTTGGTCCGAAGGTTGCTTGCTATTTGGACTCCGAGTCGAGTCGCACTCTTGAGCGCATCATCCAGCTGACCAGTGATGATCAGCTCACCGCCCTCACCCGGTACATGGTGGATCTCTTCCCCAAGATCTCCGACCACCACAATGGTTCCCATGTCGTCCAGAAGGTCATTACCCTGGCCCATGCGACGGCCCAGCGTCAGCTGGCTCAGGGAGACGAGTCCGGCATCATCAGCCACATTTCCGACATGGCCAAGGTGCGATCGGGCGATTGCTGTCCCATGTTGGGGCCGGATGTCTTTCATGCGGTTCATCCCCCTGGCCGTCCGCCCTGGGCCGCATTTTCTCCTGTCTTTTCCTCTCTCTCTCTCTCTCTCTCTCTCTCTCTTCCTCTCTCTCTCTTCCTCTCTCTCTCTTCCTCTCTCTTCCTCTCTCTCTCTTCCTCTCTCTCCCTCTCTCTCTCTTCCTCTCTCTCTCTCTCTTCCTCTCTCTTCCTCTCGCGTCTCTCCTCTCGCTGACCCTTCTCTTTCCTTCTTTCTCTGTCTCTGTCTCACTTACCCCCGGATGGATAGGTCCTTGAGGGCACCCTCCTAAATGCCATGTTCGACAAGTATGCGTCGCACGTCATCCGCGCCCTGCTGGCCCTGCTGTCCGGCGCGGACCCGGCCGTCCAGCAGCAGCAGGCTCGCCAGAAGAAGGGCCTTTCGGCGGTGCAGCCTGGCCCGGCGCACCGCGGCGCCTCGGCCGAGGCCGGTGCCCCCGTCCCGGAGGCCTTCGCCACTCGGTTCTACGCCATCGTCGAGAGTTTCCTCTCGACGCTGGCCGATTCCCCGCCCGAGGCCATCGAACAAGTTTGCTGTGACACATACGCCGCGGCTGTCTTCCAGGAGTTGCTCCAAGCGGCTCAGCGCTTGGATCGTCTGGCCGGGCCCACCTCCGAGGCCAGCCTCGTCGAGCGCCTCCTGACCCCGCTTCTGGGTTCGGGGTTCTCCAACATCTCGGTAGTAGGTGGCATGCTGTCCGGCCGCGTGTCCAGCCATGTGGTCGAGTGCATTCTCACCGTCCTGCCCGAGTCTCAGTATGTCCCGCTCTACACGGCGGTCTTCCGTGGCCACCTGGCGGACATGATCCGCGACCAGTCGGCCAACTTCGTCGTGTCGCACCTGATTTCCGTCATCCCGACCCTCCCGACTCTGGAGCTCATTCTCATTGAGGTGACTCCCTTCGCCGAGGAGCTTCTTCCTCACCGGAGTGGCATCCTTGTGGCCCTGTCGAATTCGTGTGTCCGCCTGAATGGCCTCTTCAAGGAGTTCAATGCCGTGCGTCTGCCTGCCCGACAGTCAGGGCGCTCTCCTCCTTTGCGCTGGCTTTTTGTGATTCGTCTCCCACCCGGCTGCCTTCCTCCCCCCCCCCTTCTCTCTCTCTCCCTCTCTCCCTCTCTTTCTCGTGGATTCTGACTTTTTGCCTCCTCTTGTAGTGCCTTGCCAAGGCTCTCAACCTCCGGAGTATGACCGACCGTAAGGAGACTATCCGTCGACTGGTGGCATTGCCCAGCTCCCGCTCCAAGGAGGGCATCTCCGTCCCCGGGTGCCTGATTCTGCAAAATCTCTTCCTCTTTGCCGAGAATCAGGTCCGCTATCTGTCGGATGCCATTGTCAACTACGAGAGCAGTGAGCTACTTGATTGGTGCCGCCATCCCTCCGGCAGCCGTGTCATGGAGGCCTTCTTCAATGGCACCTCGCCGGATGCCGCCAAGAAGCGCATGACCCGCAAGCTTAAGGGCCATTTTGCCAGCGTGTGTTCGCTCCTCCTTGCCCTCCCTCCCATCCTTCCCCCCTTTCGCTCTCTTCGCTCTCTTCGCTCTCTTCACTCTCTTCACTCTTCCTCCCCTTTTCATCGTTGTCCCAGCTGACCCCCTCCCTCCTCCTTCCCTCGTGCGATGCACACCTCCTGACTATGACAGCTGGCTGAGAATCGCTTTGCCTCTCATGTTGTCGACAAGATCTGGCGCATTTCGGACATCCCCACTCGCGAGTCCATTGCCTCGGAGCTGGCCGCCCGTCGGGAGGACCTGGCCAATACCCCCTCCGGGCGGCTGGTCCTGCGGAACTGCCGCATCGACGAGTACCTCAAGGGGAAGGATCAGTGGGTGGCTCAGGCTGAGTCGGTCGAGCGGAAGAAGGCCCTATTCTCGGACCTGCTGGCCGAGCCAGCCCCCACCAGCAAGTCGAGTGATCCGCTTCTGGAGCAACTTCGCCAGGAGGATGACAGCCTCATGACGGAGCTCGGTTTTTCGGATGCCGGGAAGCTCGCGGCCGATGGCCCTTCGGCCAAGTCCTCTGACAAGAAGAAGAGCAAGAAGAAGAGCCGCACCTCGGCCTCGGACTCCCATGATGTGCGTGTCAGGGCTCTTTCTTTTCTTTTCTTTCCTCGGCTCCACTCTGTTTTTCCTTCCTGTTCTTTTTTTTCCCTTCCCCACTTCCCCCCCTCTAACATGGAGACCCTTTTTTTCTTTCCCCCCACTCCTTCCCAGCTTCTTCTTGATGCCGAAGAGGCCCCCGGCCAGGAGGACAGTGCCTCCAAGGATATTGACGCCCTCTTCCAAGAGGCCGTCCCGAAGGGCGCTCTTCGGGACACCGGGTCTCAGGTGTCCACCGAGTATGTGGCGCCGACGGGCCAGTTCCAAACCGGCGCCGCCAACAGCCAGGCCATGACCGATGTCCTGGCGGCCATCGAGCAGACCACCGGGAAGCGGCGAAAGCGCACCTCCTCCGAGGAGACCACCGACGCCGCTCCTTCCACGGAGAAGAAGAAGAAGCAGCGCAAGTTCATGATGAACTAGTTGCGCCGTGTCTTCCCTTCCCGGCCTCGGGTCTCCCTGTCGCCTCCCTTTCCAAGCAGTTTCTCTTCGCATCTTGGGATGCCACCCCTTTCCCTCCTTACCCCTGTAGAATGAACACCTTTCCCTCTGGAATGGGCTGCCTTTGGGGCTGCTCCTCTCTTGCGGCGAAGGCCTTTATTTTTGGGCGGCGTTTTCTTTGGCAAGTTGTGCCATCGCGGGGGGGGGGGGGGGGATGAGGAACCGGGCGAGGGCCGGAGGGGGTGGTGGTGTTGGAGAGTGCTCGGGCGCGGAAACGCACGCCCACGGCCGGTCTAGTTCCCTTTTCTGACATGGACTTGCCCCTGGGGGGAGCGCTATCTCGCCTTGCTCCCCTTTCTCCTTCTCTCTCTCTCTCTCTCTCTGTCTCTCTCGCTCTTCCTCTCCCTCGCTCTCTTTCTGCCCGGGTCTCCGTCTCTCTTTCTGGGCCCCCTTCACTCGGTCGGTACCGGGGGCGACTCGGGGCTTGGCCACTTGCCGCCGGCGATGCCGTTGAAGAGGACCTCCAACAAGCCCAAGTAATAGTGCCAGTGGAGGTGCACCGCATCGCGCAGCAGCGACCCGGTTGCCACCGGCTCCGTCAGACGATACATCTCCATGATGCGAATGCGCTCCAGCACATCGGGGTCCGTTTCTTCGGCTTGGATTTCTCGGAGACGGCGATTTCGGAAATTCAGTCGGGCATTGTTCTGCAACAGGAACACCCCATCGAACTGGCCCGGGCGGGAGTCCAGCCACTTGGGATTGCTGGCCGTCGTGTCCAGGAGGATGATGCGAGCCGGCTTGTCCGTGCCGGTCGAGCCGAAGAGCCCGGCCTCGCCGGAGGACCGTTCCCGGTCCAGGCGGGCCAAGTGCCGGGCGTATGTCCGCAAGTAGCTCCACACTTCGGGGCCCTCGCGCATGGTGTCCTGGTACGAATGGGTGCCGGTGCTAATGAGGGTGGCATGCGGGGCCCGCATGTCCATTCCGAGGAGGCGATCCTCGGCATCCTCATCATCGCCCACGATCAGGCTCAGGTCCGAGCCGTCGGCCATCTGTTGCATGTCATCGCTGACTCCCTGGAGGAGGAGCTGTTCCGTGACATTCTGCGTGTGAATCGGCCACCAGGAGAAGTATGTCACGGCCAGGTCGTGCGAGCTGATGTAGCAGGCCTTGCCCTTCTTGTCCTCGCTGTCGACCACATTCGCCTTTCTGTGTGTGGCAAGGCCCCCCCCCCCACCCCCATATGGTCCCCGGTTCAGCGGTCGGGCGTTTTTTTTACCACGTACGCGCGCATGTGTGTGTGTGTGTGTGTGTGTGTGTGTGTGTGTGTGTTAGAGGCTGAACCCTCGCTATCCAAAAGAAGCCCATGGGACAATGCCCTTCCCTGGGCGGCCGGTTCTTTTCGCCCATATCACAACGCACCCATGCTCGCAAAGGAGAAGGAACAGATGCCGCGAGTTGGAATCGCCCACAATGCGGATCCACTGACGGCGGAAGTGCTCCAAGATCGAGGGCAATTGGCGTTCGTGCTCGTGGACATCTGGATTTGGCGTTCGTCAGTTTCGGGCAGCGGGTCCATCGATGGGTGGTGGATGTGGTGTTCCCGGCCATGGAAAGGGCCTCGTATCGACACCGAGCACGGGCACCTTCACACGCATACGCCCAAATGATGTGGCAGGCAATCGGCCAGATGGAGGCTGCAAGGCGGGCATGTCGTGTGACGTACACTCCATCGAGGTTCGGTCTGGGAACCGCTTCAGCCGGCAGCCCATGTGGAACCACTCGTATGTCCGCGTATTCCAGAACCCATACGGGCGGTCCGGATCAAAGATATCCGGCTCCCGGCAAAGAGGCAGCTCCTGGCGCGACTCCTTCACTTCCTGTTGGAAGGTCCGCGCCGCAGCCAGGGCCGCCTCGACATCCATGTCGTCGGTATTGGCGGACCCATCGACATACTGCTTCTCGCTGAGAAGCTTGTGTCCCTTGTGATGTCCGGCCACAAAGTACATGGCTGGGTTGCGCACGGTGATTGGCTGCATCGATCCGGCAGATGGAATGGCCGCCAGGATGGGCGAGTTCCGGACGCTTTGCTTGAAGTACTGCTCCGGATAAAGCTTCTTCACATCCACGCTTCCGACCCAGCTCTCCAGGAACCGTGGCCGATGGGGGTGGTGCCTAATCCGCGGTCGAGCATGGTGTCAGTGAGCAGCCCCTGTCCGCCGGGAAGGAGGTCCCGGTCTCCCTGAACAGCAGTGCTGGGGCGGGGGGGGGGGGGGGGGCGGGGGGGGCAGGGGGGGCGGAAAGGCCCTCTGGCCCCTTCCCGACAGGGTCGCACGTACTCGAAGACTCGGGTGTAATTGAAGATGGTCAAGTCCGTGTTGATGTGCCACTCACCCGGATAGGGAACCTTGAAAAGCATGCGGTACTGTCCACCATGGCGTGGCATATGCTGCACGCTATGGGGCCCAAGAACCAGGCCGTGCGCCTGGATGGTCGTCTGTCGCCGGAGCCCCATGTTAGCACCGGGCACGTCCCCTCTCCCATGGCCAATGGCACATGCGGGCAGTCTCACATTGCCTCAAGAGGGCGGTCCGCTGCATTCCGCAGACGTACATCGAAAAATGTGAACCCATTGCAGGTTTCCGTATCGTCGCACGGCTTGAGCCCGCAGAAGAAGTCCGGCGATGGCCGAATGTCAATCTCCAAGAAGGTCTGGTTGAGCGACGACACCCGGGGCTCCGTCAGCGAGAAGCGCTCTGGCGGGAGGATGCTACGCGTGTGTGTGTGTGTGTGTGTGTGGGCATGTGCGCGTGAGTAGGAGGTATGAATCGGGACGCGGACGGATATTGCGGGCAAGTGGTTCCCGGCGCGAGTTTGCCTCCATGACAGATCTCCTGGGGGAAGATGGTTCTCTCAATCGCAGGCGACTGTGAAGAATGTGGCTTTGCCGTGCGTACCTCCGAAGACGGGTGCTGTCGAGTGAGGGGCACCGAGCTGCGGGAGGGCATGAATGCCACGCCCCAAACATGATGAACGCCCGGAACCGTGCGCATGGCCAATACGCGTGGCACCAGGCCGCGCGGCGAAGGAAAGTCAGCAGGCCATCCTTTCGGCATGGGACGCATTCCATTTTGAACCCCACCTCTACGCACCTCCATCGCCGGTGAGAAGCGCCTCACTGGGCCGAACTTCGCCCGGTCCCTCCTCAAGCTCATCACCTGGGCCTTCGTCGAGCACATCGACAAAGCCGTCGTCCTTGGCGGAGCCCGGCTTGGCAGCTGCCTTCGAGCCGGCCGGCTTGTCCTCCGCCGGCTTGTCGGTGGGGGAGGCCAGGAAATCGCCCTCTTCCTCCTCCTCCTCCTCCTCCTCGTCCTTGTCGCTGTCGGACTTCTGGTCGAGCTCCGCCTCCAGCAGGGGAAGCTCGATGTCCGGATCGGCCGACGGCTTAGCGGCCGCCACTGTCGGAGCAGGGGTCGGCGTCACCGTCGGGGCGGCGGCCGGGGGGATCGTAGGTTCCGCCACCACCGCGGCCGGTGGCGCTTGGGTGGGCTTGCGCGGTGCTGCCGGCCGTTGGGCCCATTCCGGATCCAGTGACAGGAGATCCTCGACCGCCTTCTCATCCAGGATGCCGGACTCGTCGTCGAGTTCCTTCGGCCGAGCATCCTCAAATTGCTTGATGATGCGGTCAATGTCGAACCCGGTCGGCCGGGGCATGTTGTCGGGATCCCCCTCCGGCCGGGCATGTTGGTACATCGGCGAGGTCGACTGGGTCGGGGCCGATCGGTGTCGCGTGTTCCCGGGGAAGGTGAAAATCACATCGCCCTGCACCGTGAGAAAGGGCGTCTCCTGCCCGGGGCGAAAGAAAGGTGGCGCAGGGGCATCGCCCCGAAGGAGCTCGTTAGTCCCGGGAAGAGGCAGAAGAAAAAGGCCTCCGAGGCGATATGATGGCACATGGCCAGCGCCCCTGGCCGGCCAAGGTGGCCCTCCCCTCGCTCGATGCCACTCAGCCTCGCTCAACTTGTGAGGTGACAAGAGCTGTCATGGCCCATTGGCGGCCATTTGCCGATGGACACCACACGCATGCCACGCTGCCAAGCCACCGAGAGCCGGCTGGCTTGCTTTGAGGCGACGGGTGTGCCCTTTACAAGCTAAGCCCCAGACAGGGTCGAATGCTCGGACGGCGACGGGCGAGGGGGCCCATGCCGAGCCGACACATCGGGGCTCCCGCCCATGTCCCGCCCATGTCCCTCCGGCCCGCGAGCCTGCCCACCCAGCCCGTTCATCCGTCCCGAGCTCCCCCGGTGAAGGTGCGAAGCTCAGGTGCGCACCTTATGGCCGAAGAGGGCCAGAAGACAAACACTCAGCGATGCCAGGACGATGGCGAAGGCGAGAAAGCGCCCGCGCCGGGACAAGCCCCGCATGTTGGTTCTGTCTAAGTGCCGAATAGGAGGATCTCACGAGGAGGTGGCTGGCTGCCTCGGCGCAAGGAGCTGGCGGAGGTTGGAGGCTCTGGAAGGGGCGCTGCTCAGGAACGCAAATCGGTATGACTCTCCCGGGGCATGGCCATTTCCGGAACGGGTGGCCTTCTGCTTCAAATGGGCTTTCGCGTCAGACGCGTGGAGCTCCGAGCCAAGTGATGGTCCTGGCGAACGGATGTATGTGCCGTTGCGCGGGGGGTAGGAGAGTGAGAGCCGAAGGATGGAAACGCGTGTGTCAAGAGGCCTCAACAGGTGGCGGTGGGGTGGATGGGAGAGGCAGACAAGAAAAGGAAAGTATGTGGATGGTGAAGGGGGGGGGGGGAGAGGGGGGTGTGGGAGCACGGACAGTCATCTGGTCGGCGTCATGCTCCCAGCTGAGTAGGAAGATCTGTACACCCTTTAGCGGCCATAGTCAGGCGGGTTCTCGCCCCCAGGCGCCCCCCGTGCCCCAGAGGGGTGGGTGGGGGGTCTGCCTCGGCCCTCTACACCGCCCTCCTCTTCCCACCCCGGGCCCCCACCCCTCCCTCTGTTTCTCTCTTTTCCCCTCCTACCCCCCTCGCATTGCTTTGTTGCATTTCCATCGGCTGCCCTCGGTCCGTGCCGGAGGCGCTCCCCCGGCGGTGGGCCTGTTTCTTAATAGGCTCCCGATAATGACTTGTGGGTTCTGGCCACGATAGGACAAGGGCCTCACCCGAGATCCGGAAGATGGTAATTGTGGGTGACGAAGGGCAGGAGCTCGATTGACAGGAGGCCGAGAGGCACAGCCGGCAGTGTGTCCGAGGCGGGGCGGCCTGGGGGCCAATCGTGTCCTCTCCGGGTTTACTGTACAGCCCGACTGGGACGTCTCCCGCCGCCCCCGCCCCCGCCCCCCCCCGCCCCCTTCCACCCAAACGTGGGACGCAAAAAGATCGTCACCCGGTTCTCCAAATAAGCTGGCATCATCGAGGCCTGCTCGGGAATGACTGCCACCCCTTACGCGTGTGCGCGCACGCACCCCCGTGTGTCCAAGCCCGCGCCCTGGCAAGGGCTATCCTTGTCCTGTGGTCGGTCGTTCTCCCCAGGCAACAACTTTGGGCGGCACAAAGAGCAGGGGGTCGAAAGTTGGGCGTGTACTCTACTCCTGCAGGGGGGGGG